TATATAATGCGTGTGTCTGTGTGATAATCATTGTGTTCCTATTTGGAAATGTTTAAACAAAGTGTGGATTTGTGTGAAGTTAGCAAGCTGATTGTACAAATTATTAGTTCTTCATAAATATATGCTAAAATTACAGAAGATAAATTTGAGAGAAGTCAATAAACGGGAAATTATTAAATTTGAACAATAAATAAATCTGATACCATTATACAGTGAAGTTTATTTACAAAACACCTTTCTCAGATTAAAATCATAATGTTCTTAAAAGACACAACTCAATTAATAAACCACAGCTGTTCAGTTATAAACAGATTTAGAAAAAAAGCTTATGAAAAACTTGTATTAAAATCGGAGTCAAACTTCATCCGAATAAAGAAAAATATCTTCAGCTGGTTATTTTTTAAGATGCAGTGCTGATAATAAATGAAATCATTTCACTGTGAAGTCAGTGAAGATTTTAAAATTAATTAAATAATTTAAGATAATAAACTCATCCAACTCTGTTTTCATATAAACTGCAAATATCGTTTTTGAATGTCATGAAACTAGATTTAGTTTGAGTCTGTGACCAAATCAATTCCCTCCGGGGTCAATAATGTATTTACTCATTAATTCATATTTATTATAAAGTATTTTCTCATTAATTCATATTTATAATAAAGTATTTACTCATTAATTTATATTATAATAATGCATTTACTCATTAATTAATATTATAATATAGTATTTACTCATTAGTTCATATTTATAATTAAGTATTTACTCATTAATTCATATTTATAATAAAGTATTACTCATTAATTCATGTTGATAATAAAGTATTACTCATTAATTCATATTGATAATAAAGTATTACTCATTAATTCATATTGATAATAAAGTATTACTCATTAATTCATATGATAATAAAGTATTACTCATTAATTTATATTGATAATAAAGTATTACTCATTAATTTATATTGATAATAAAGTTTTACTCATTAATTCATATTGATAGTTAAGTTTTTACTCATTAATTCATATGTTCTGGTGTTGCTTCACTTTGTGGTCTAATTCAGACGCATAAAAGACCTTTCCATTGACTCTAATCGATCTTATTGATTGATCCATGGTGCTGCTGCTGCTGACGCGCACCTGTGTGTCCTCTCAGGCCGGGATGGAGCTGCGCTCTTCGGTCAGAGGAACGCTCCCAAGAAGCGGCGGAAGTCGCGCACGGCCTTCACCAACCATCAGATCTACGAGCTGGAGAAACGCTTCCTGTACCAGAAGTACCTGAGCCCGGCGGACCGGGACCAGATCGCCCAGCAGCTGGGCCTGACCAACGCGCAGGTCATCACCTGGTTCCAGAACCGGCGCGCGAAGCTGAAGCGGGACTTGGAGGAGATGAAGGCGGACGTGGAGTCCGCGCGAGCCGCGGGGACCGTGGCCTTCGAGAAGCTTTCCAAGCTGGCGGAGCTGGAGAGGTGCGCGGCGGCGGGGGGGTTCACTCCGAGCCGCTCCGAGCCGCAGCGGGTCTATGACGGCCGCCTGGACTCGAACGGGCCGCGCACCTCACCTCCTTCACCCGCAGGACGGAGCAAGTGCTGCTCCGAGGAGGAGGAGGAGGAAGAGGAGGAGGAGGAGATAGACGTGGACGACTGAAAAGTGAAAAATGAGGTGTCCAGTTTCAGTGTGCGGGTATGCACTCAATGTAAACAAAGCATGGCTGGCTGTTGTCTGTAAACAAACATGACCGAATCAGACAAGCGTAGAACCTCAAAGACGTTTAGGTGGAAATATAAAAATTAATCTGCTGCTAAATGTGAAAGAAAAGAGAAAGATTGAGGTCAAGAATAAATATCTGGGATCCCACAGGGCGGTGGAGCGCCATAAAGACAGAGTTAACACACGAGGCTTTTCTACCAGACAGGTAAGTTTACAGTTTCAACCTAACCTGTTCATCTGATCATCTTTACTCAGTTTGATCGTTATAAACAACTCTTCAGTGAAAGTTGTTGTTCTTTTGTTTTCTGACTGTTTCTGTAACAAACCGACCGCCTGTTTCATGAACAAATGTTTATATTAACCACCAGTAAGGACAAAAAAACTGCAGATGTTTCCTGCTTTATGAATGTTCTGCATTTTTCATGGCATTGCATTGAATACCTTCAAATGGTTTCAGTGAAAGCTTTTATAATTTAAGAAGAATGTTTTGTTTTATGTTGAGATGATAATCAGTCGAGGTTTGATATATTTATAACACTTTGTACTCCTGAAGTGCCTTCAGAGTGGCTGATCAGCACTCCTCATGTAGAAAGTGTAAAATCATAATGTCAAATAAAAATAAAATACATTTAAATAATTTAAACCCGGTTTTGGTTGAATCATATTTTAGTTTGAATGCTCCAGACTGGCTCTCTTGTGGGAATCATTTTCAGTTTTGATCTTCAGTCTGCAGGGCCGGTCCAAGCCTCCATGGGGCCCTAAGTGAAATTTGATTTGGGGCCCTCTGCTAATAATGTGGATTACTGCAATCAACAGTCAGATGATCAGATCATTCACCACCTAACATGCTGACATATGTTTCATCGTGCTACTAAAAGTAACACAAGAAAAACAACACCAGTATGTGATGTGTTTTACAGCAAACATCATCTGGTTTATTATCTTTGGTTTCAAAGAACTGCAACAGGAATGTTCAAAATAATTTATAGTGTAAGATCAACAACAAACAACAGATAAAATAACTTGGATGCATAAAAATAAATTGAATTGTGCAAAAACAGACAAAATAAAATAAAAAGTAAAATATCAAGGAAATACAAAGTACTTAAATGATGTAAATGAACAATTACTTGAAACCACATAAAACGGTTTTAAAAAAGAAATTTAAAGTTGAATAATTAGTTTTTTTAACTATGTGAATGTATGTAACAATGTGCAAAAGCTGAACAAAATATTAAATAGAATCATATAGAAATCATTATTAAAAAAACAAAAACAATTCCACTTAGGGGGCCCCCTAGTGGCCCCAGGGCAGCTGCTTAGTTTGTTTAAGCCTTGAGCCGGCCCTGTCAGTCTGTGAAGAGCAGCGTGTCTGTGTATGTGTGTGTCCTCCGGCGGGTCCTCGCACACAAAGGCGTCCTGCAGGCAGCGTGTTGGAGGCCATATGGTTCTGATGGTCCTCTTCAGTTACGAGACACTTTGATGGATTCACTGAACGTGTCTTTTGGACAATTAGAGCCTCTTTGTGTCGCGCTCCGTGCAGACACACTCAGTTGTGACCCCGCTGACTTTGGAACATGGCCATGAATATGAATGGGCCTCAGCGGGTCATCAGAACTCCTGACCTCATCTGCACGCCATGTCCAGGTCCAGAGCTGACTTTGTGGGCTGAAGTGAGAGGATGAGTGGATCCAAATCACACATGTCTACCACACAGACATATTCATGTTTTGAAGCTTGGTTAAAATGTACGTTTCAACACAGAAACTGCTGCAGTCCAGCTGATTTTACATCACCTTTCAGAAGAACACCCAAGTGCTAAACTTACCAAAACACAATTAATACAACAGACACTAATTAAAAGAAGATTCAAGTAAAATTAAAGTAACTTAAATGTAAAGAGTGCAAAAAATTAAACAAGTGTTTTGAACATTAAAACGGGACATACAGGCAATTTAGTTCAATAGATCATAAGAATATATAAAATACTAACGGTTACTTCAAAGAGGGAAGTTTTAAGCTTTTTTTATTCAATTCAACTTTATTGTCCATAACATTCAAAGAAATGGAGATTTGTCTTATCTGGCTCATAAAAAACAACACAAGTTAAAAATGCCATAAAACTTTAAAAAGTTTTGCTAACACAATTAAAGGCATTCTAAAATACATGAAACAAGAAAAACAGCAGACAACAGTTTGTCATGTGAGGCTAGGTTTAAATAGGACCCTGTAAATTCACAGCAGAGGGAACAAATGACTTTTTATCCATTTTTCTTTACCAGAGGAACCAGCAGTCTTCTGACAGATGGCACCAACCTGAATACTGGTTGCAGTGGATGAACTGGGTCATTGTAGACCTGGATTGACTTGTTTTCCAGAACCTGACTGTACAGGTCTGTAGGCTGCATTTGTTGGTGACCAGTGAATTTACTACCTTGTTTGACCACCTGAGACAACTTGTTCCTGTCTCTGGCTAGAAGGTTCCCACACCATGAGACAAAATTAACCAGTATAAATAAAGGTTGAATGAATATTAAATGAAATGTGTGTTTAAAACGTCAACAGGAAATCGATTCCAGAGCGGAGGAGATAAAACTTCACCTCGTCTGGTCCCAGAGAAACAGTAAACCTGCAAACCTTGAAAGCCAAGTGTTTTTTGTGGGGAAGTAAAAGTTAAAAAGATCATAAATAAAATGGCACAATGCCAAAAAAGAGATTTATATATTAACTGGATTTAAATTGGAAAGGTAACCAGTGGAATGATTCTGAAGCTCGTGGTACAAAATGTAAACACAAGAAGAAGAAAAGGACGCCTGGTTGAGGTGGGGCTATGACGACATCATTGCTTTCTAAAGGTTATGTTTTGGCAGATTACATTAAAGCACAGGGTGTCATTTCAAGATCAGACACTCTGGGACCAGACACTCAAAAAAATGTTGTTTTTTTTACTCACAAATCATACGTTGTTGTAAATGTACTTTATGGGGACTTTGCATTGACTTCCATTCATTTTCTATAACCCTAACACCCCCCCCCCCCCCAACGAGACTTCTCCTGACCTGGTTTTGGTCCCCATAAGGAGCAGTTGGTTCCGTACAAAGTAACCTGAACACACACACACAAACACAATAATCATTGATTCAATCAGCCATTAAATTGAAGTTTGATGCACCGCCTCTCTCAGACTATCAGACCTGCTTCTGCTCCCCCCTTCACTTTCCACTTGGTGGAGTCCAGCACCAACTGGCTGCAGCCGAGACCCTTCAACACAACAAACATGCTGATTCTGTTCACCAGCTCTGCAGCACTGGTTTCGGTTTGTCTCTGACAAGTTTTCAAAAGAGCACGACGTGGAACTGTTCATGATGGAATGGGTCGTCGACACTTAAGTTGTTTATTTTATTAAAGCATCAGTTTATGTTTTGATTTCAATTCTAATTTTAAAAGGTGAAACATGTAATCTCCAAAAACAGTCTGCATTTTTTATTTTCTGTATTTCCTTGAAGGATCATCATCATCATCATATCTGGTGAATTGAAAAAAGGTAATCTAAAACATAAAACAAGAAACTGTTTTCATTTTCAAGTGGTGATCAGACTTCTTTATCTCCTTTATATTCATCCATCCATCCATCCATCCATCCATCCATCCATCCATTATCTTAACCTGCTTCTACCTTTTCAGGTCACAGGGGTCACTGGTGCCCATGTCCAGCTATCACTGAGGTGGGAGACATCCAGGACATGTCTCCAGTCCATCTCTCTCTCCCTCCCTCTCTCTCTCTCTCTCTCTCTCTCTCTCTCTCTCTCTCTCTCTCTCTCTCTCTCTCTCTCTCTCTCTCTCTCTCTCTCTCTCTCTC